AATCATTTCCATTTTATGGTACTTTTTACTTTTACTCCACCACATTTCAGAGGAACGTATTGTACTTTTTACTTCACTAAAGTCATTTAAGATTAAGACTTTATATGAGACAAAAACACATGATAAGATAATAAAACGCAACATGTTAAAGATTAACCCAGTGGTTTCCAACCTTTTTGACTTGTGACAAGATATCCCATCTAAACTTCTCAGATGGTTTCATTTAAATAATCATTTGAGGCGCAACGAGTTAAAACTATACAACATTTCACAAAATAGCAAAGACTAGAGAAAAGTCCAAAATCCAGATTTGTGTAACCAGATTTTTTTTTTCCCCATTTCCTCCTCAATTAATCATCTCATGACCCCTAAGATTCATCTAGTGACATTTTGGAGGGGCTCGAACACTAAACTAGGAACCAGTGGTTTAGACTATTAAACAAAAAGTCAAACTAAAAACTGAGACTAGCTCCATCTCTACCAGATCCAACAGTAAAATGCTGCTTACACATTGATACATCAGTATTGACAGTCTAATAATGTTATACAGTATATAATAATCTACCAGTCACAGGGGATGTTTTTCTCTCCAGAACTAGTACTTTTACTGAAAATTGAGTTGTACATTGGCATATTGGTACATTTACTTGAATAATGTATCTGATATCTTTTTTGATTATAAACCAGGTCTAGACGTGAATGATGTATCAGAGCACTCAGTCCAAAGAGATATGCACAAAGCCTGTATTCAGAAACTGAGCCGAACTGCCACAACTATACAGTGACGTCACAACTATACAGTCACCGCTCTCAGCCACGCCCCCAGCACGACCCAACCAGACCAACATCCAAAGTTTTTTTTGTTGTTGTTTTAACCATGCAGTCATTCTGTTGATGAGGTAGCTAAGAGACAGAAAAATGTTGAGGAGACACTGCACAATCATTGGATGTCAGGAATATTACTATGCCAAGGACCGTAACATTAGATAACAGTGGATAAAGTTTATTTTTCCTAAAGTACCAGAGCATTTTAGTCTGAATTTGACCATCTGTTCAGCTCATTTCAGCACTGACTAACCATCGTTATTTGCATTTAGAGATGTGAAACTACATAGAGATGATTTTTGGTACTTAAATCCACAAATATATCTTCTTATGGTTATCAAAACTTCATCTAAAAACACTAGAACAGTGTAAAATATGTGAACTTTAAAATGAGACAAATCTGAAAAAGTAATGTTTATAATTTGCTGCAAACTAGAATCACTGTTGAATTAATGGGGGCATAAATTTATCCAGAATACCTTTGCTTACTCTGGTTTTAATATTAATATTTAACCCCGTCCTTTTCCATGCTTTTTCTGCTCCTTTAACTGTAGCATCTTCAAGACACGCACTCGCTTACTGCTATAATGGATAATCTCTCCTTCTCTTTCTGTCCTCATTATGAGAAAACTGTTATACTTGGCATCAGAATTAACTGCTCGGCTGCTACTGAGAGCTAGAAAGAAAAGCTGAAGTGGGTCATATGCTGGAAGAGGGGAGGGGATCGAGGGGAAAGGGGGAAGAAGAACACAGATACTGGTTGGGTAGGATGAAAGCACAGGTAGAGAGGAAGGAGGTAAAGGCTGGGCACTAAACTAGGAGGATGAACGTTTTGCCCCAAGCTTTGAAATTAACAAGATTAATATGTCGCAGCAGGAGGAGACTGAAAATAAAGCTAAACTGAACCTCACAGAGGAAACGACTGGGACACTCTGGGAACAACTGAAGGAAAACAACTTTTTCTGCACACTTGATTCTATGTTGTAACAGTGATTTAAGGAAGAGAATTTATTCTTTTGATTTTTCTGTGCTTTGCTGGACATATCAAATACAAAAACTGCCAAAATATAGGCATTTAATCTTATTATCTAGTAGTAGTAGCAGGAGTCCCCAAAATCTTTTACTGAAGTAAAAGTAGCGATACAGCATTGCAGAAATACTGTAAAAATCATACATTACAAATATACTAATGGTATCAAAAGTGCTTGTACTTGTTCCATTTGAGAATCATGTTTTCGGATTATAATTGGATTCATATATAAACAAAAATTACTTTAATGTTGCATCTGGTAAAGTAAAATGTATTACATGATTATATTTTGCGTTAATAATCTAAATCTGCAAAATAACTAAAGCTGTCAGAACGATGTTGTGTGAAGAAGCACTAAATAGAAATACTCAAGTAAAGTACCTCAAAACTGTACTGAAGTAGAGTACTGGAGTAAATATACTTACTGCTTTATACTTACTGTTTCATAAACTAATGTGAGGCGGAACTGCAGGACACAATTTAAGCAGCTTTTAACAAAATTAGACACCAACAAATGATTTGTCGGCTTCACCTCCCCTCCATTCACTTTCTCAGTCAGCAAGGTGTTATGAAGGCCAGAGAAAGTGGCCACTAAACACACAAGCACAGCTGAAGAAACTTAATCTGTGTACAGGAGAGCCAACAAAAACAATCCAACCACGACCAGCCCACGCAAGCTCAAGCCCTGATACGCTACGCAGTAATGCTGGCAGTTAGCCAGCTAGAGGTACCAACATTTGCTTAACAAATTCATAATATCGGTAACAGCTAGTTAGCTAACATTATCATGGCTACTGTTACTGGTCACTAATGAAAACAGACATGTAACATTATGTTCCAATCAAGTTACTTACGCGTGGAAGAGAAGAAAAGCCAGTTCGAGTCAAGCTGGAGTCAATGAGCAGCTCCTAGGTCTCTCCATCTCGGTAAAGACCAGTATTGGCTCCATGGTCGGACCGGGAAAGAAATTCAGCCGTGGAGTTATCCGCTGGGACTGGGCAACACAATGGCACTGTAAATGACATGGTAAAGACGCTGACAGAGCTGGTAAAAAACTTTAAGGATGTTTTGATGGTACACTGGCCGACCAGGATTTGAGCCAGTGGTCCCCATGGCCAGTGTGCCCAATTTCCCCTGAACACTGCTTACTGCACTGCGTCATCCGGGGAGGGTGGGGAGGGCCAATGGTTGAAAAGGAGGGACTCACATGCACTTACATGCACACCTCCATGCACCGACTTGCAAGCGCTGCTGTACCACATCACAGCACATACAGCGAGGGTGTGACTTCTTTTCCTGTTCAGAAACCATTACTCCACTATATCTAAACAATTTTTTTTTTTTTTTTTTTAAATAAAGAGTCAAAGAGAAGAAATACAAAAAAGAATTAAGTGACTTTAATGATATAAGCTACATTTGTACATTTCTACAGCAGACTTTCAGTAAGACTAACTGCCAATTAGAAAAAATGACAGAACATTTTACCTGTAACAACTGAAAAAACTGGATAAGATGTCAAAGGCTTTGAAATTAAATACTTGTAAATATTCAGTTCATTATTTTGTCCCATTAAATAATAATAAAAACATTTAATAGTTTGAACAATCAATGTGAAATATAAATTACATTAAAGCACCATTTCAAGAATGAGGATATTAAAATAAATAATTGGCCTTTCCATATCAAGACAGTACATTTTTATGGTAATAATGTAAGGCTGTGCAGTCACACTGAACACTCCTGCCCAAGGATGTCAAATAGGTTCCACATACAGACCATTATAACATGAGGGGAATGCTCACCTGTCTTCCACAAAAGACCGCAAATAACTCTGGCTACAATATAAACACCTATGAATGTGTGGTTCATCACCAGTAACTACTGTAAGTGATGTACAACTAATCCTTCTGTTCATTCCTCGGGAAAAAAATTACCAAATAAATGACAAGTGAGTTAAACTGTGAAACGATTGTCACTTTTTGTGATGTAACATGCTAATATTTGAATGTTTGTCTTATACTTCCAATTGGGAGGGCTCCCATTACAAAGATCTCACGTTGTACTATCCCCCAACCCATTATTAAGCCCGACTGGCCTGAAAAAACATATTGCAGTTTCACCCGCTCACTCATGGGTACTCAACACAGCAGCTGTGAAAAGCTGCAATTCATGTCACACATCTTCACCCCGAAGAGTTATCCTAGAATATATATTGTTTTAGGTCTGGAAATCATTTTACTGTACACTGTTCATGCACAAGCCTTTCATATATGCACTAATGACTAATGACCTTACTTAAATCTGGCAGAGCAACAGTCACACGATCAGGTACGATAACACACCTTACTTTGATCCCTCAAGACCTGCCTGCCAAATGCATGCATGCACATACACACACACACACACAGAGTTTTACACACACACACACACACACACACACACACACACACACACACACACGCACACGCACACACGCGCACACACGCGCACACACGCGCACACACGCGCACACAGGCGCACATACGCACACACACGCACACACACGCACACAAGCACACACACGCACAAAGTGAGAAAAGAGCTTACTGTGAGTATAAAAACGAGGGTAGACTGTTTCAACAGGTGCTTCAAAAAGTCACAAGAACATATCAAAGACTGAGGCACAAAGCTGCCTTTTTAAAACCCACCAATACAAGTACCAGCAACCAATGATGGTGCCCCTGTCTCTACTGCCATACATGGTATAGAAAAATTCATACAACTATGTTACAGTACAGTAAGAGGGCTTTCAGTGTTTACAGGGCCACCAGGTTCAAACTCCTAGTCACAAATATATTTAATGCTTTGTTTTCTTAAATTTGGTTTTCTCAGCAAATTTGTAGTGGCAATTTAATTTTCTGAAAACTCATACAGTAGCTAAAAACACACTGATACGCCCACTTTACATAAAACCTTGTACAAGTTATTCATATTCATACATTAACAGTCCGTTTAGGTAATGTTTTAGAAAAATCAGTCAGTGGGCTTTAATAACTGGTAGACTATGAATTACCATGTTTACAAAAACATTTGGTGGCAGATACTGTATAATCCCCTTTGAGCAAAACAATGTCCAAATGTATGCAGTGACTCCGGTGGGTACAAATCAATCCGAGTACTGGAGATCTAAGTCTACTGTGCCGTCTGTCACCACTAACCTCACCCTCTTGGGTTTTGTGGCACCCATGGAGTGAGATGTTGGAACAGGTCCATAGTGCGGTGCACCTTGGTGTTCCCCAGGCTGGCACTGTTGCTGCATGTCCTTCCTGTAGTGTTCGTCCTGACCCCTCTGCCCTGAAAATCCACCCAAGGAAAAAGACGCTTGGTTTGAAAGCTGGGGCCCACAGGGCTCGAGAACCAGCCGCCCTTGTGTGCCTGAAGGCTCCATCAGGCAATGGTAGGTGTAGTTTGTCGAGCTGAGTCCTGGGTAACCATCAGCCCCATCCCTGAGACCCAGGGTCAATGAATGGTCTCCACTGAAGTTTAGTACGTAAGGAGGACCTTGACAGCCATAGGGGAAAGAGGCTGAGGAGGACATGTTCTTGTTTGCTGGTGCTGGCGTACCAGGAGGTGTACTGTGGACCACTTGGGGGCTGTTGTGCTGAGGAATGGGGGACAGAGACGAGCCAAAGCTGAAATCAAAAGGGTCTTGCTGAGAGTAACATGGCTGGTGTTTGTCTGAGGTCGACGGAGTGGATTTATCGTGTTTCAGACTCCTGTCTTCTGGTGTTGAATAACTGTCAGACATTTTGCTAGGAAAGAAGAAGGGTCTTGGCAGCGCAGAAAAGTTTTTGTACGTCATGTTGGTTTCTCCACTTTCATGCTTATCAGATGACAATTTATTTTTACTAAAAGACTGAGGGAAGTTGAGTTTATTGAAATGAGGGCTGGACTTGTTGGGGTTGCTGGACAAACCAAGATGGCTGACATCTTTTCCAAAGCCTTGAGCAGACATGTTGGCTTTATGATGACTGTCTATATTCAGTTTGAGACTCTGCTGGGTCTTCTCAGTAGCACCAGATTTTGTACCGAGTGTTCTGGATGCGACAGTCGGGCTGCCAGCAGCCGTGGTGTCTTTACAGGGTGCGCTGTATAAGTTTTGACTCTGGTTCCCCCCCTGGAACTTAAGCACCCTGTGAATAACTGTAGAGGTTTTCTCGTGGAAGTTGAATGGATTGTCTGGAGGATTGTGATTTTTCACAGTGAAGAGCTGTGGGGAGAGGAATTTGTTAGACATTTGAGATGATGGGACGGACTTTGTCATGGAACTCTGGGACAGTCCTCTTACTGTGTTTGGCTGACTACTACTTGAAAATGACTGAGATTTATTAGGAATGGTCATACGATGGAAGGGGCCCTGGGTTCTTAGGTTAGCCTGGGCTTTTGACTGGCTGGTGCTCGGCTTGATGTTGATGGAGGGCTGGGTTGAGGTAACAGGATTTTGAGATGTAACAGAAGATGATGTTGCTCCAAACAACCGAGGCTTGCCGACTACAGACAAACACTGAGTTCTGAGGTCTTCTCTGGACACCCTCATTCCCAGATTTTTACTCATGTTTCGATCCTTAGCAGTAAAGTCAGAGTTGCTGAGAGCTGAAAAACTGAAACTGGGGTTGGGTGGGTTTCTGTCTTTGGAGGTATCCTTCGCTTCACATTCCAGAGGAACAGAGTCACTTTTGGAAGAAATTAGACCTGGAAAAAACTGCAGATCCTCACTGGTAAAGTTATTTCCTGGACTGGGAGGGCCAAGGTATGGTGTCTCTGTAGTCCATGTATCAGACGGGCTGTGAGAGAGGGGACTGCTGAAAGGATCTGTGGGTGGATCCAGTGAGCACAGATCTGATGGAGAGGATGGAAGTATGTTCTGTGGCTGATAATACCCCTCAAAGTTGAGACACTGAAAGTCCAAAATATCATCGCAGCAGTTTGTGAAGGTGGGCTCACCAGAAAGCATGTTATCTGCAGTTGTAAATGGAGGAAACTGGGATGGGGGCTGGATGACAGAATTAGTTGCACTGGAACTGGTTGTTGGCTTTTCCAAAGTCTGCGATGAACACAAGCCTTCAGAGAGCCTGGAGAGGCTGTTGTCAATTTGTTGGAGAGTGTGACTAAGACAAGTGGTGGGTGTTTCCACAAGCCCACACTTCCGTGATCTCTCCATTTTGTGCCTCTGTTTCCTTCCTCCGCTGTTCATCTCTGGCCTTTCAGTGATTCTTTCTGCAGCCGAGGATATAATTTCAGTTTTATTTTCATTAAGAGGGGAAGACAGAGACAGTGGTGACAGAGACAAGGAAAATGGTGGCGGCTCTGTTTTCAGAGGGGCTGAGTTGCTGTTCAGTCTCTGAGAGGAAGGGCATTCTTCTTTGAGCTTGCTTAACTCAACACCGTCTTTCTTTTGCTTCCCTAAAATGTGACCCTTCACCTCTTTCTTAACTACAGGCTCTACTTTAAACTCAGTCTGTATGAGGTCCTCTTTGCTGTCCACCTCCCAGATATCCTCTGTCTTTCTGCGAAGTTTAATTACTGGTAATGGAAAACCATTTGAATCCAATTCCATCTCCTGTTTCCATTGTGAGCCACTTCCAAACAAGCAACAATTATTTACAAAACGATCTTCAATTTTCGTCTCTTGGCCTACAACTGACACAGGCTCCTTGTCATTTTTCTGACACTCCATTTTTTCAGGCAGCTGCTTGACTCCAACCACAGGCTTCCTATCAAGCTTCTCTTCAACTTCTACTTTGTCATTAGTGGATTCACTGGTTTCACAGGCATTTTCAACATTTTTACAGTCTTGGTTTTTGTCTAATTTTACATCCGCAGGCAAATCAAAAGTTTTCCTTTCACACAGCTTCTCACCTCTTTTTTTCAAACGATGCAATCTGCTCTTTGACTTCTTACTAGCCTGCACATGAGCCTGTGCTGCCTCCATCTCCATGTTTAAAATCGATACAGAATCCATGATGGCTTTAAAAGGGTCGCATGTCACCACATCGTCTCCCTTTTCTGTTTTTAATGCCATATTTCCAATTCCTGCGCTTTGCATCTCCCATACTCTCCCTCTCCTCCTTTTGAAACGGATCTTAAAGTTAAGGCTGGGCTTTGTCTCCTCCAAATCACTTTGTTGTAGCAACGTTACCACCTCAACTTTCTTTTCAATTTTATCTGGAGTTGGGTCGTGACCGCAGTGCTCTTGGGTTACAGCAGAATCCTCAGCTTCCTTGTCCTCTGCAAGTTTATCACTCTTATGTGTCTCAGCTTTGTCGACATCTTTCTCATCTTGCCCAACTAGTTTACACCTCCTCAATAAAGGGCCTCGCTGAACTTCATTAGCTCTGGGCCGAAGCACTCTGTTAAAGGGGTTTTGTTTTGTGATCTTTCTGGGGGTCAACTTCTGGAGTTCTGTTCCTCTAAGTCTGCCTTTACCATCTCTTTTCACTTTGCTACTCTCCCCTGAACACACGTTCATGTCCTGCCTCATCACTGCAGACGAATTTAACTCAGTGGCTTCTTTAGATGCTTGATCTGCAGCAGAATTCAAACCTTGTTCAGAGTCTATTTCCACAGAACTGCGAAATGTACGTTTCTTCAGAGGTATGTTGGATTGTGTGTGTGCCTGCGGATTGGTGTCTGGATGCGTGTTATTCGTAGCTTTTGCTGAAATGAGTGACCTATGAGGTAGTGGGCTGAGGCATGTGGCCGGTGGGTTGTTATGCCTCTGTGCTGACTGAAGCTGCGAACTATGCTCGCTCAGTTCAGTCATAACTGTAGCTGCAACTTCTTTGCTTAAGTTTCCCTTAGTGCTTTGCTTATCTTCTGCTTTTGTTTTCACTGCTCTGGGCCTCAGCTTTCGCCGTCTCATAATGCTCCTCTGCGCTGAATGATGACGCCTGCCTCCGTTTATTTCAGGTTTTTCTGCTTCCTCCTCAGAACTTTGCATTTCTTTAGAGGCCGAGGCCGAAGAAAACCCTCTTCCTACAATATCTTCCTGTATTCTCTTACCTATTAAGGGTTTATCTTTTCTTAAAATATCAGATAGCAGAACCTTTGCCTGCTTTATGACAATATCTTCTCCAAGCCTTCTTACTGGCTGTTTACTCACACTCGTAGTCATTTGTTCTGATACTCTAACAACTCCCTCCTCCTTACATGCACCCTTGACTTTATTTCTAACACAGTGGGTGTTATTCTGTCCTGTAGTTTTCTCATCAGACACTATTTTACATTCGGGCTCTTTCACTTCTTCCAGGGTTATGTTACTTTTACATTCCATAACCGGAGCTGCAGAATTTTTCTTTTCTTTCTCCCCTTCAATTTTGCCTTTTACAATGTCCTGCTGTTCCTCTTGTACACAAGCTGTTTCTTCTTCTGACACTGTTTGTATCTCAATAACCTTGTCGTTCTCACTGTTCTCACTGTGGCATAAATCACCCGCAGCATCACCTGCATGTCTCTTCCTTAGATTGACTTTATCGATGGCCTTGAAAAACATTTCTCTCACCCCTCTGTTACCTTCAGCTGTGCAGCTCTCTGATCCTCCTCCCTGCCTCTGCTGAGATCTGGACACTCTCTTTTCTGACTGTACTGTCAGAGGCGCTGGTCTAGGACACTTGCTCTGCCTGCTCCTTCCTTTTTCCTCCACTCTTGCTTTCCTGTCTTCAGTCACCTTTTCTGCTTCTACACTATGAGGCACTGACAACCTTATTAGGTTGACTGTAAGGTATTGCTTCAGTGATATCAATGGATTGTCTCCATCTTTCTTCGATCCACCCGTGACACTCTGACAAACTTGTAACAGGGATGGATGTCTGATGGTCTTGTGCGTCGTATTCTCAGCAGCTGGATTTTCGGCCGTATCCATCACGCCGGATTCAGCGCTGCTGCGCTTGTTGCTTTGACTTTCTACGATTGCTTTTCCAATTTTCTCTTGTCTTATTGCACTGCAGGCTTTGTCATTCTCAACAGGTTGACAAACTGTTGTAGTGTTAGCTGTGTTACTGGACCCTGTCTCCTGTGCAAGCATGGTGTGAGCCATGCTCCTTGTTCTTGACGAGGTCCTCGTGTGGACTGCCTGCCTGTCCGCCACTCTGACGGACTTCCCATTGAGACCAGCACTGTTTACTGTGGGTCTACTCCTCTGATGAACCGACATGGAGGAAGTTAGTGTGGAAGGCTTCAAGTTAACCTCGCTGCCGTTATTTTCTAGTTCTTGCAGCAAGGCCCTTTCTTTGCTTTTAGGGTCCTTACAGTTGAGTAAGAAATCCAGTGAGTGGCGCCGTACTCTGATTCTGACGTCCCTCAGTGTAACTTGGGACAAAAGCGGGACTGTCCTACGTTGTTTGACTGTGGAGGATTTTAGTGGGTGCTTTCCTGACCGTCTGTGCTTCACTCGTCTCCACTTCTTTGTTTGATTCAGTTTTCTGTTCTTCAAGGCATTTCTCCTCATCTGCTGGGTAAAGGAATTCCTTGAGGGGATGGCTGTGAATGAAAGACAACAAAAAATAGCGGTTGAACTTGAAGCTGCTCTATACAAAAGCATTTCTTCCGCTGATGATCTAATGTTTTCAACATAAGGAGTGTATGAAAATCATGTTGCAGCAACAGTAACTGTGGAGATCTGTGGAGACACAACAGCGTGACTTCAAGTATCCACTTCATTAAATCACTTTAAATAATTTTCCATCCTTTAGTAATTTACGTCATAGCAGATGCCGTGGTGCTACCAAGGCATTTGAGGTCGAGAAAGGTGTGGGACAATAATGTAAAAAAAAATTCAAGCTGCACAAGGATTACAGTGTAAAATATAGCAAGCAGATTTTAGCTTATTTTCTCTTTACCAGGAAGCAACCACGCATGTCTACTGGGAGAGAATACATTACAGCAGCATTGTGATATATTACAATTGGTATGATTCAACCGTATCAGTTTATCATTTGCGTTGAAACCTATGCTTTATAAAAATACATATGTATATAAGCCAAATATAACATAACAATAGAATACAAGCAGCAGGAAACATCCATACTCCCTCCTTTAGTGTTATGCCACCTTCAAGTTCCCTCCTCAAAAGACTCTGGACACGTCATCTAATTAAAATTACAGCAACTGATGTAAAGTAAGTATTACCTACATATATTATTCAATAACTTAAAATAAATCTAACCAAACCTAATTAAGGGTTTGGATCTAATGTCTGTGTCTCTGTGTGTGTGAGTGTGTGTGTGTGTGTCTCTGTGTGTGTCTCTGTGTGTGTGTGTGTGTGTGTGTGGTCTCACTTGCTAATGTTTATGATGTACCTTGACTGTTTCCACGGAAGAAGTCATCTCATTATTTTAAATCCTACATGCTAAATGTTTTGTTTTGCTGTGGTTACATAAGCAAATGCAGACTAATTATTACCAAACTGATAACAAAAAGTGTTTGAATATTATCAACAGCAATCTCAGTAAACATGTTTGCAGATTCCATATTATATGAAGTCTTTTTGAAGCAACAGAAACTTTTTCCTAAAAAAAAGGTTCACGGGACCTGTGAGCCAGCTGCTCACTGCATGTATTTGAACATGCTCTGGATGATGGCATCCGCAGTAACTACAGAGCTATTACATGCTCCCATCTCTTTCCAGAGACACAGAGTAAGTTGTTCTTTAACAGCTAACTGACTGCACTAACTGATCTTGTTTCTCCTGGTCTAACATTGTGCAGAGCTGTCCAGAGGACGGGATATAACACAATGCTGATTTTCAACCCCAGTTCTCTAACATAAAAAGTTCCCTGTGTCTTTCTGCACTGCATCATCATAGCATTGCAATTTCAATATATGAAAACTATGAGTATACAAACACTTTGAGCAGAAATAATTTAAACTTGGACACAACGGTCACAACATGATTAAAGCTGCCCTATAATTTGAAGTAAGTAAAAATATAAAAATGTTTTTTGAGCATTTATACAACAGCAACTCCTAAATCTTAGATCATATTCTTTGATCTGCAAGGGGATTGTACTTAGCAATGTTAAATCAATTTGTTCGTCATACAAAAAGCACTGAACTTTTAGAAAATGCTTATGTCAGAGATATTTTGTTATTTATTCGTCTGAATTTTGATGTGCTGTTTAAAACTGGAATGGCTGTGAGGTTTGCGCAGATTCTGAGCTGGGTGGACCTTTATGAACAAGCAGTACTGACTGTCCTTAATGCTTTCAATTTGATGCTGCATTTAACAGCCACTGGACTGATGAGCACACTGTCGAGTTTAAACTATTACGAGCTGTTTTTCTTGACATTACTGCTGGAGGATTTGCATGGTACAAGTTCTATTCCTTTGTCTTTGAGCCACATCTGTGGTGCTGACAGGGCTTTTAGGAAGCTTCTGTTTGAATCAGCTGTCTTGTCAGAATTTATTTTGTACGACAATATCAGAAAAAAATCCTAAACCCGTTACCTTTAAAGATACCTGAGTGTATTCCTGGTACTATCGGCCTCGTAGGAAAGTGACCCTTCTCTCTGTGATGGCGGAGATATCGCTCTCTCAAGCGGTACTTCTGGCCCACAGGGTCCTTTGTTTCTTCACATTCAGGCTGCTTCCCTCTGTGTCTGAAGTGACCCTCTCCATTCCTACAGAACAGTTGAAATTTAAAAAAAAAAAAAAAAGGAAATTAAGTTAAATTGTTTATCCGTTTATTTCCATGTCTAATAAACAGAACTTTCAGTTTTGAGCAAAAATCCAAGCTGTAATAAAAACATTGTCTGATCAGATGATGAACACACCTCTCACAGGTGCAGCATTCACACATTTCATTGCCCTCGCCAAAAAAGCTGGCACCATAGTAACACGTGATCTCCTCCCCAGGTGAGATTGGTCGAATCACTTCAACACAAGCGATGTTCTTCTCACCAGGGACGAACTGGGCGGGTGAAAAAAATAAAGAAAAAAAACAGAGCAACAGACAAAGACAAAGGTTGGTTGGTCCATTGGGATACATCAACACGGCAGTTAAGAAACACAGGGGTAGGGTAACTCTGCCCTCGGAAATACAAATTTTTAAAATGCTAAATTTCACAAAGATAAATCTTACAAGATGTTGCAAATGAAATGGAAGAGTAAAACATCAATTATATCAATTTGTCAGAGCTCTTTAGAGCATTTGATAAGTGAATATTGTGATTACCTTACAGTTTGGTTTGCAGTCTTCAAACCAGACGGACAAAACAAAGAGACAAACACAGAGATAGAAGATTCAAAGTTATTAATTCAATCACAGTGATGAAGCAAGGACTAAACATTTTCTTGATCAGATGAACTGAATTCATTTTGCATAGGCTCACACATTAACAGATCTAGTCAGAATCTGCCCTCTGAGTGGACAGAAGAATTTACTCAAACTTCACTGGATCTTTTACACAAATTACAATTTAGTTCACAAGTGGTCTGTGAAGAGGAAGCTGCTTGTGTTTATCTGTTTTAATAATGTCTGTGACTGACTTTGATACATGTTTGTGTAATGAGAGAGAAATTGACTGATTAATTATTTGGTCCATAAAATATCAATAACAAAAAAAATGTGGATCACAATTTAATAACAAAATAACTTAATTTATGTTGCTTTGTTCGACCTAAAGCGCAAAATCTAAAAACTCTCAACTTATCATAATAGACGACGATGAAAAATAGCAAATACTCACATTTTAGAAGCTGGAATATGTGCATTTTTCTTTGAACAATAAAATATTTACCAAATAATAAGCCAAAGTAATAACCAAGTAATTTTCTGTTGATAGACTAACCTGTTAATCAACACTTTGATTCTCGTTCAGTTTCGTCTACAAAAAACATCCTCCACTAATGACTGCACATTTCTCTAGTTTATGGTAAATCTGTGTTTTTGATGTTAACTACACAACACACTTGTTTGTCTCTGAAGCAGAATTTTTATTTTTTTTTAATTACTGCAGCAAAGTGTGTAAGAATCTACACAAACTTAAAGACTGAAGAAAATCAGGGAATCGCACGAGTCAGATAGGAGGGAAGTGTTGTCACCTGAATATGATGAAGAAATGAACAAATATGGTATTTTTGGACACACTGTAATAATTCTCTATGTGTTTGTTAGGTGTGGTTCAGGAGTATCTACAGTATGAAGAAAGAACGGCGAAACTGGTGCTAATCCAGCTCTCAAGCACATGTGCTGGGATCAAAAAAATGCAGCTCTCCCAATGCGGACAGAATATTTACATGCCATGCAAAGGTCTAATCAGTAATTGTTGACCACATAAACTGCAAATATTTTTGAATATACAACAAAAAAGTTTGACTTCACATTTAAAAATTTAATTTTGTGAGTCTCATAGCAGAAATTATAAGATACCAACAGGCCAATTCAAAATTTGGTTAGAAGTCTTACTGACTTGGGGTGTAACTGTTTTACATCATCTCTTTTCTACCTTGCACTTATGAGCGTATAATTTGTCATCTTATCGTCTACCTGGTTGTGTATCTTAATGCATTCAAATCTACACTCTGATCGTTGTTAATATAAACACATGTCTACTTGTTTATATGAAAACATAAATAAATGTGTATTTAAAAATCATTGAAAATTTGTATCTCTGCTATTAACATTTATTTTTGTTATCTACTGAATTTCATTTTTCTGTACTCAGTCCAGATTAAATAAAGTATAAATAAAATAAATAAGCCTCTTTCAGTAATAACAGGAATCATCTAGCATTAGAAAACAATTTACTAGGACTTAATTGTTGTGTAGTGGGAGCGCATGTAATAAAATACCTGTCAATCAATTTTAAAGTGATAACAACTTCCAATCTTGTGTTTTGATTGTTGGTATTATGCATTACCTTTTGTTGACATTTGGATTACAGACAAAAAATGTTCTCCTGGTGCTGATGAAACTCACAAGCGAGTGGCTTTTATCAGCTATGAACATTTTGAATTGGTACATCTCTGTGTGTGTGTGTGTGTGTGTGTGTGTGTAGGGAAAGAATGAGTCATGAATGCAAACAAACTCACCATGGTTGATGAAAGCTGCAGGCCCGAGCCAGAGCTGGGCGCAGCGCTTGCGTGTGGAATACATCACACTGAAGTCATTGACTCCCGCCCTCAGCACAGCACTGTCAGAGGGGCTCAGTTCTGCTATGCAGCCCAGCAAGACTTCCACCCGCTCTCCTGCAAACCTGCAGAACAACAATTCAAGCATCACACATCTAAATTTCAAACAAACAGTCCAGGACATGCAGCTGAAACAGCAGTAGTTGTTGTTCACTAAATGCTGCCTTGACAAACACAATGTTAAATGTGTGAGTGATTACCAGTGCCGTGTTGAGGTTATCTTTGCTCCATTGGTCTCTGAGGTGTATCTGTCACAGGACTCTATTTTGATACCACTATCCAACAGGAAGGCACTGAGGTACCGATACACCTGCAGACATCACAGAAGGTTTAGATTGTGTTCTCACATTCAAGAATTGATAGTAGTTTCCTATGAACCTCACACAGATAGTAAGAGAGCACAGATGTCATGATACATTTTTTTTTTAAATTTGTGATTTTACATGACATGATTTTATATTTATACTGATTTGTAACTTTAAAGATAAGCCTACATGTTGTCTCAGCAGCTCCTGTCGATGGCTTCCCAAAGCATTGAAGTAGTCCCCTGCCAGTTCGCCTACTGTCAGCGCCTCAAACGTAGCATTGAAGTCGTGCGTACGCTGAAATCGCAACAGAGTCTCTTTAAGGTTACCCCATCGCCGGATCTCTGGTTGGGGACTAAAGAGGAGAGAAGAGCAGATAATGGCACATAAGAAAAGCAGACACTGTGACATAACAAAGTTTGAACACAGTCTGTGTTAGTCCAAGTCATGTCTGTGTAAAAATTATTAACCTTGAATTTTAGATATAGTTTTCAGGGGACTAGATAACCATGTATGTTTGACATCCTCAAAATATATTTGTGCTCGGACTTTTCACTCAAGACGGAGTTGTCACTGTATTTTATTTGCTTCAAATGATCAAATCTTTTGACAAAAATTACCAATAAATAATGATGATGATGATGATTATTGTTTTAATAGTATTTTTCCCTCCACAGAAAATCCACTTACATCACCCTTGCAGGTGGCCACAATGCACTGGAAACAGAAAGCAACAATCACAACAAATTTAAATGATGGTAATAGTAACGGGTTTACTTGTGAATAGGGATGGCTTGAATGAGAATCTTGTTTATTTTCTCTTAAGTCGAGAGTGAATAGATATCCTAGTATGTGTAATGCATTTGCTGTGCAGCGCTAAGCAGCACAACATATAGTACACGTACTGTAAATGGAGTGGACAGTGTACAGGACGTGTCTTTTGAACTGAAAAAGGACAGTAAAACACTACCGTTTCATTCCACACACTATCATTTTCTAAATAAAGAAATGTTTAACTCCTGCTTGTACATAAGAAACCTTAAGGGCAGGTCTGGGTGTCATGATATGTTCCCAGTAAACATACACTAAGTTGGCAGATTATTAGGTACACCTAGCTAAAATTAATGCTGTCTAATACAACAGTCCTGCAATAAATCCTCCCTCCATGAAGGGTATAATGTTGTACAGTGATGTAATGTAGTGTTTAGACTCTTTAAGTGAGGCGTTTATTGAACTTTATTATCATTTTAGAGGATGTAAATTATGGTGCTGTTGAACTGTATTAGTTGTATAAGTGTACCTAATAAACTGCCAACTAAGTGCACAACGAGTTTAATACAGCAAGAACTTCATTAATGTGGAAACCAAAAAGAAGTGGTTAACAACATTTCATTAAAAACTAATGTGATGAAGTGTTAATTGGACTACAGGGCTGTGACACTGTTCGACTTGACAGGTTACCTGATGTTCATTTTGTGGGTGTTGAAGCCCAGCAGAGGGTCCAGCACCAAACCGGTGGCCAGGTCATCAGTCTCACACAGCTCCTTCACACTCATTCTAGTGCATCCGTCCATTGCCTCCCACCATCAGCATGCTGCAATCAAAGGGTCAAAGTTACGCTATGACAACAACAACAAACCACAATCATCTGTGACTTGTGCATATCTGCAAATCCAGACTGCAAATGACAAAACGTTATCTACTTGCTCACTTGCTTAAGTCATGCAAGTCTACTACGCTTACAGTGACCAGTCCCATATAAAGGAATGCGTGAGATAGGAATGTGCCTGGGTTTACGTTAGCTCCCATAGCAAATTAGCTTAGCATATCTGCTTGCAGGGGAAATACGCTGGGTTATCAGCCGAGGAATGAGGATGCTAACATGGTAGCACCAGCTGTCTGCGGCCAACTGACTACATGACTGCATCCGATTGCTAATGAAATCGAGGTGCTGAGAGCCGACCTGTAAAGCAATGCACTCTTCCTACGATGCATACTGAACAAGCGGTATTAGAAAACCTACCTGGGAGTCTTTTGTAGTCAACGAGAGTATCGTCAGACAGACAATTTATCGCAAGCTACTCGCTTGCTCTGATTCCCGAACGCCTAGCAGGGAAAGTTAGCTTAACAGCATAACCAGCTAGCTTTCCGCTAGCCCGACCAGCCGCATACGAAGATGGAGTCCCTCCGTCACTTCTGGAATTTCCTGGTTTTAAAACGATTGCAAACCCCAGTCTGGATGTCGAAGCGCAGAAATGTACCACAAACGACGTCCAATGTGCGTACAATGTATTTGTTATGTAGCTAGCTAACTAGCTTTGCACAAGGTTCGTCTAGTAGCAAAAGTTGATGAGCGATGTCCAGTGCAACCGAACTATTGTTGTTGGCCACGCCCACGCGATGCGCTATTCGCTAAGGTCAAGGTCAATTTTACAAATCAGACGCAGAGCCGCACTTTCAGCTCTGTGATTGGCCAGGCTTTCTCATGGGTGGGACTACTCGTGGGTTTCTTTTACTATGTTGTTAACCGAGCAGAGATGAGTATTTCCTCAGGTACACGGGCTCAGCAGGGAAGCACTTCATAAAATCACTTAGGATACAGGAGAGATGCTCTCCTCAGGAGCAATACCATGACCTGCCGGCTACCACATGACAGGAAACAAACAGCTACAAATATTTAACATATGTAATTTATTAGATGTCTGAGATTGAGATTATTAAGAATAGGTTTTATTTGCATGATATTTTAATTGGTGAGTAACTCAATACATATGATTAGTGTTTCAGCAAGGTACAATTTAATTTAATATTGACAATTTATTATAATAAAAAATGCTGAGATTAAGGGTTAAGCAATGAACTTTTATCATAAGAAAAATGTGATAAGGAATTCAAGGTGCATAGTTGAAGTTAAAGGTTTTATTTATGGCCAAAATGAATTTACTAAAACTCATGAATAGAAAGTTGTGTGTGAAAGCTTGACAGTCAGCATCTTGTGTGTTTTTTAACTGATCATTTTTTTCCAAAATGTAAGTTTATACTGATGATAACTGATGATATACTATGTTATTAACAGACCTGTCCATCATTTTCAGAGTGATCAAATGTTTCAACCATGTGTGTTGAATTTTGGTAGAGCAGCTACACTCCTGTTTACATTTGGAGCTTTCATTTTAAAAGACTACTACATATCTGACACTGTTTGAACTGTACATAATGGATACACCTTCCTGTGTTTGACTAAGAAATTCACCTTTAGAATCTGGGTTGTCAAAGTCCACCTGAGAGATCCTTTCATCATTGACTAATCCCTTTTTGCAAATATTTTGTGAAAATGATTTCTTAAAGAATATTTAGAATTTGTTATCTAGGGGTTTGCATTACCACCATACACTTAAATCTACTTCACCCACAAAATAATGTAACCATATACATTAATTAATTTTAAAGAGAGGTTGAAAATTTTGATTTCGTCCAACAACTCATCTGGAGTCTCAAAATGTCTTGGAAGTCAAGAAGCCCCTCTGCACCCCCACCGCCACAAGCAGCAGCAGCCTCCCATTCTGTGGGCAGGTTTCAACTGGTGAACAAGCCAAATGCTACTGCATATTTTACAGGGTGTCAAGGCATTCAAGCTCCCAGCAACTGCAATCTCCAAGGACTTAAAGGGGAAAGGACCCATCTCTCTGTCACCACTGAGGCACAACTTGTGGTATTTTACACAAGTAATAACCGCAGATAATAATGGTCACAGGCAGCGATGAGTCTTTCACTTCCTTAGAGCAAAAGGTGCTCCCTTAAGAACCCTTACCACAGCAAACACATCCGCATTGTCTAGTAATTTTTTGTTTGTTTGTTTAGGAGTTAGGAGCACTGCAAGCACAGGATTTGATGTTGTTGTCTGGGGAAGACTCATACATGAGTCTCATTCATGAATCAGCAGTATGATGTATGAGCTGACAGTGGAGGAACGTCAGGCTGCATCATCATTAATCTGCAGGACAGTCAGACACCACAGTCATCACTCAGACACCTGATGTGAATGTTGCATATCCATGAGGTGTTTCATCAGAAACTAGTGCTCTTTGAGATTATGGCTCCCATTTAGTATACTAACATAGCAGATACCGTCTATAGAAGTCATGCACACCTTTCAATATTTTTTTTATTGCCTGATCCCAAACTTCAATTTTGTAACTATATTTGTTATCATTTTGTCGAATGAACACATAAAACTGGTGATGTGCTGCGTAAAATGAAAGAGAATTTTTGTTTTGGCTCATTGCCACTGAGAGTTTCTCACAGCATTTAGGCTTCTTATATCAACGAGCGACAGAAAACCATAAAAGATAAGAAAAAAGGAAGAGATAAAGACTGTAAAGACAGGCACAGAGACGGAAGCATACTGCGCTGCCAGACTCAAGCTCCAGCAACAATTTCATATCAGAAGAGGAAGGAGGAGGCTGGCAACATAAAGAGGGAGAGACTGTTTTTCCTCACAAACCAATTCACACTGAACATTGAATATCAATTGGCTCTTTTTGATTTGGTAAAGAGTCTGAGCCAGGTGACATCTAATACATAAATAATGCACATACATACAGTATTGTCAGAGAGTCGAGGCCTCTGCAAAAGAAGGGGATGAAAAATGTCTCAAGGCAAAAATAGAAGTGAAGCAATTACTATTCTCCCAGTGACGTGCAAGGGCAAGCCTTTGCCAACAGGTTATTGTGACTTTCACTTTTGTAGTGAAAGTGAAATGTTATATTTACTGATTAGTTACATCTGAAAAGAAAAACCAGACACAAATGTACAAATTCTATATTTTATTTCTACCTTGTAACAGAGACAATTTGTGATTTGATTTGAAAACAAATGAAAAACAAATAAAAAATACTGTTAACTTCTGGTGCTGTTTCTTGTTTTTTTTTTCTTAATTGTAATAATCTAATAATTTCAGATCTACCCAGCGACAGTGCATGGTGCAAAACATCCCTGATAGATTAAAAACACTAAGAAGCTCGCAGTATCTAGCATTAAATTTGTCAGTAAAAACAATATGAACCAAAAAGTGATTAAAGAGCAGATTCTTAGAGGTAATAACAACAGTAAATATAGAGTAACAATTAAAACAAAAAAAAATTAAGCAGAGGTTTATACAGCTATGGAAATGGGAATGGAAGAGGCCTTTATTGGACCATTTATTCAGATGACAGATCTACAAGTTCCATGTTTTTTACTGCTATATTAGTCACTTAAATGTTTTGCATTGTTAAAGACAATCTCACCCCACAATTTGAGATCATCTCCACAACATCATAACACTCAAGCCTTGTATAAACCTTTAATGATCCTATTAGACTTTAATACCATACATTTCTGTACATTTTCAGATTTCATTCTACATCATATCAGCTTTATCCACAAAAGGTGGATCTGTATAATTTACAAATCAAAAGAAATAACCTTCAAAGGAGCAGATCATGCTGAACATTGTTCCTCCAATGGACTAACCACGCTGTCCAGGTTGGGCTTAGCTCATTTAAAATGTTTTAATTCAGCCACTGTGAGTCATCCGACTTGTACATATCGTGGAATAATGGTGTTTATGCATGTATTTCTATTAGTATATGAATCATACCACCATTTAATTTAAACATCACTTCCTGAGTTGGACCTTACTGGATGTGAATTGAACATGAGCGCACGAGTCCAATGATGTTTTCTTCACCTGCCTCGCCCCTTACACAATACCTGATGCAGTTATGAGTTGCGGCGTATGCAAATTAGTCTATGTTAGAAAGCATAGCAGGATTTCTTACGTTTTGATTACTTACATTACTTACATTGATTTCAATAAAAAGAAGAAGAAAAAGAAAAACATTTATTTTCTGAGGTACTGAGTTGAAAACCTCTGGCTGAGAAAATGGAGGGAGAAAGGTGGGGTAGATTCCAGCTTCCCCACCCCTCTGCTTGAGTGTGTGCTGATGCACTACACTCAACTTGACCAATGTGTACTGGCTTTGCAGCAGTCTGGAGCGCTGCAGTTGCATGTGTTCATACTTGGACAGAGGGCTGAAGAATGAAGACGGACAGCAGACTATCAATACCAGATACACCAATTATGTAGGGTGTGTTGTGTTTGTGGTGTGTGTGTGGAGGGGGGGGGGGGGGTTATTAGGAGACGTGAGGTGAGAGACCCTGAAACACTGTAGAAATAAATATTTTTTCACCAGTTGCAACAGCCTGTGCTGAACTATGGACTGCTTTCACTGGGGACACCCTGTATGCCAGCTGAACTTAATATACAGTAAAGGGGATGCAAAATGGCCAATATGTGACATGAAGTTACAAAAAGAGATTATTCCTATTAAAAAAAAACTTACAGAAACATGCAAAAATGTCTGTTTGAATCTGAATTCAACTGTGGAAACTGTTGTTTGAGGGCTCAGTTCTCAGTGGATCCACTTTGATAATATCTTATATGTAAATGATTTGATTCTGTCTATGGCTTATGCTTTTTTCAACAGCAAGTTGCTGAAAGCAAAGTAGAACATACTTCCAGCAACTGAGAATGATGATTACAGTCAAAAGCAATGCAAGCACTCTACATAAGCAGCATCAAAATTATTCACTTATTGCTATACAGCAGTGGCTGTTTATCTGGGAATTACAACCAAAACTTTGAACTATATCTCATTAGGAATTTGCTGTCTATGACTATCTTCAGTATATCACCATGTTTTGTCAGTAAAAGAAGGATGTTGTGCTCAGATTCTCAGATCAGGTTTAAAGGGCTGCCTTCAGCTCTCATTTTCCCAGGTTTAGCTCACACACAACCCCATTACATGTGGGTTTATATCTAAATAAGCCCAGTCTCTGCTGTTTTTTTTTTTTGTTTTTTTTCATGGATTCAAATGAAGTGGACTTGACTGGAGCACTTTGAACTGGAAAGGTCAGAGCAATGATTCATCATCTCATCTCGCTTTGATAGTTTTTACCTTTGATCACAACAAAAATATATGGAAACCCTTCAAGCCACTTTCTCCTCAGTAAGCTTCTTCGAGTATAAAGTGCTGTGTTAAAGTTCAACGTAGATTAAATGCCAGACATATTGTGGAACATATTAAACGCACATGGTGATGTTGGATTATACTGAGCGGTGTCATCTTACAGATCTCCCATAATATACATAGGGCAATGAGCAACAGAGGCTCAGCGACAGAGCCCCTCGCTCCCTTTTCCTGGAAGTATTCCTGCTTAAATTTCAGTGCTCATGATTATCCAACAATCACTTGGGAAAAGGAACATTTGGCATTGAAGAGATTCCTATTAAAAGATGTTTTTTTTTGTGATCAAACAGGTAACATCTGGTTCTGAAACCAGCTTTTCCTACAGTTTATACATTTCCAGCAAATGTCATCTTTAGCAAGACCACACTGAATCAACATGTGAATGCTTTGTTGTTTTAAAAGTATGTAAACTGAGCCAAAAATCGGATTTTTGTGAGCCTCATTCATAGGACAAGCTGCTGTATCATCAATCCACTCTCACAGACAAGAGCAGCCACTGTGCACGGCAAAGGTCGCTGACAGACAGGACAAAGCAATGGCAAACACAAAGTGATCAGCATGATGGCATAATTCAAATAAATTGTTATTTTTATTCATCTTAACTTTCAGTGAACTAAAAACCAAAGGGAGAAAGAAAAAAAAAAATCAAACCATGTTGGTTCCATGTATCTACAAAAGAAGCAAAACTATTTCACATCCATGACTGTTCTCAAATCATTGGTTTTCAAAAGGGAAAGAGAGAAAAAAAAGAAAAAAAAAAAAAAACATGTCTCATTGTGAATCCATTTCATTCAAGGATTCACCTGCACATGTATCCACCTGTGCACCCAGTGTGTGGTATGTGCCGTTACCGTTTGACCGTGCAACTTCACCCCTCCCTGGCTCCCTCCCCACCCATCACACAGCAAAAGCTTGTGTTTAGCATTAAACAGTGCAGGGCCTTAACATAAACAGCCAAGGCTCCTCTCTCTCACAACCCCCCTTCCCCTTCCCTCCCCCCCCTGCACCCAGGTTTGAATTTACATCACGGATAAGCTCGGACCCATCTCAACAACATGACAGGAAAACAGAACAGAGGGTACAGAAGGAAGAAGGAAAAAAAAAATAAATCATACATACAGAATACAGCTGTTCCCTCTGTGTCATTCTCACTTTTTATACACATTCACACACAAAAATTACACGCAAACAGCCAAACAAACAGTTAAAAATTGTTTCAGAGAGAAAAAACATGATTGAACCCTGGACACTTGTTTGCTTTGTTGCCGTTTGGTGACGAGGGAGAAACAAGTTTGGGAGGTAGAGGAAAAAAGAGTGTTGGGCCGACAGGGGGTGGCAGGTTGTTGGAGGGGCACCCAGCGGGTGTTATTTCTTGGCCTTGGCGGCCTTGGCTGAATTTCGCGGTGGGGTAACTGGTCTCCCAGATCCCATTCCTCCCCCTCCACCATAAGGATACAATTTCTTATCTGCTGGCTTCAGAATCTGTGAGAGAGACAGAGAAGTTTCCACTTAAAGGTACAGAAATAAATACTAAACTCATAGTGATTCACAGTAGAGATACACTGGTTTTTGATTATTCATGTTGCACAATAAAGGTAAACTAGATCAAGTCAAATGGACAAAAGCAAATTAATTTCATTACAAAATGAAAATTACTAACACAGGCTCCATTTTAAGATAAGATGAGCATTTATTGTCCAAAGGGGAGATTTGTTTTCACAGCCACATATATTCACACAACAACAAAGCCACCCAGCATTCATGTCCCAGCCCATATACCCATATACCCACACACACCTGGAAGGAGCACATGAGCGTCTCATCCACGCTCATCATGGCACCAGCGTTGTCAAACTCTCCACAGTAGTTGGGAGCCGAGAATAAGGTGACGAGCTGCCTCTTTGCAAAAAACTCATAACCGTCTTCTACCACCTGAGGACAGAGATGAGGAAATCAATATTCTAAAACACAGTATCAAAATACAGAAGCAAGAGAGAAAAAAAGGGTCAGTCAGTTGCTGGTATGTTCTGATTTTCAGGTCGTTTAATAGGAGAACTAGATCTTAAATAGCACTAAATGTCACTGTACAGCTTATTGGCATGAATGGTTATTCAGAATATTTTATATTAGTAACTTTGTAGTAATCATCTGCCTTTTTTGTTTTTTTATACTGAAATAAATCTAAAAAAATCTGCAATTTTAGTTTGAATATGTTGAATTTAAGCACACTCCCAGGCCCTTTTATTAGGTACACCTGTATCTAATGAAAACAGATCTGCCACAAATTCCGCATTTAGGAAGATTATAATGTTCAGTTTCGGACACTGTCAGAGAGGCATTCATTCAACTATTTTGTGTTATTTTGAAATGTGTTTCTAATATTCTTCCCCTATCATGCAAAATATTAGAAACACCTCTCAATATAATGGAGTCCTTTTAAACACCAAGGCAAACTACAACTTCAATAATCAATACATTGTAAAATTAATATCTCTGACAATGTCAATCACAACTATAAGAAGGTAGATTTTAATGGATTGTGTGAGAAAAATTATAGAGGACAAAGACACCCACAGCTTCAGTTAGCAGGGGCACAAAGCCTCCTGGCTTTTAATCTGTACACAATAACTAGTAAACATTACCTGATGTGCCCTGCATATTAGGTCCATGTCGTGTTTGTGCAAAAATTTGGCCACCACATCTGCCCCGAATGTGAAGGAGACACCACGGTCGTTTTCACCCCAGCCTAGCACATCTTTGTCTGGGTCGGCCCACAGCAGGTCACACAACAAACCCTGGTCAGGCACATCTGTGGGTCGCATTACTCTGCGGATCTGCTCCATTGACTGGAGATCAGGAGAGAGGCCTGGACAGAGGACATGCAGAGAACAAACACTTAGTCTGGTTAATCTCACGTGGGCATTAGATCTTATATTTAACAAGGCCGACCTACCTCCATGACAGCAGAAGATTTTCTCATCTACAATGGCAGCCACAGGTAAACAGTTGAAGCAATCTGTGAAGGTCTTCCACAGCTTAATATTATACCGTCGCTTACCTGCACACACAAGAGGAGAAATGAGAATTTAGTGAATGTCAGGAACGCAAATGTATGTTTTTTTTCCCTTCATTAACAGGTTCTGGGCACTTACACTCATCATAGAAGCCGTAGATTCGATTAATGGAGGCGCATTCATGGTTGCCACGCAGCAGGAAAAAGTTCTCTGGATATTTAATCTTGTAGGCAAGGAGCAGGCATATAGTCTCCAGTGACTGCTTCCCTCTGTCTACATAGTCACCCAGGAACAGGTAGTTGCTTTCTGGGGGGAAGCCTCCATATTCAAACAGCCGGAGCAGATCATAGTACTGACCATGGACATCGCCTGCAGAGGGCAGCAGAGAAGTGCAATTTAAACACCCTACTTTCACTGCTACTGGGTGTAGCTGCTTTTACATGAAGAGTCCCACACCTAACAAGTGCTAGTTTCAGATGAGTCCAGTCTATGTCTAGAAAATCATGAGCAAAACTATCTTGTCTTGCATCAGAGTCAGACAACAGTACAGTACTCTTATGCTTGGTCTTAATGCTTCAGTGAAACCCACTGGCCGCTATATCCATTAAAACTCACCACAGATTTTGAGGGGAGCCTCTAGTTCAAGCAGTATTGGCTGACTCAGGAAGATTTCACGGGACTTGAGGCAAAGGCCACGGATCTCGCCTTCTGTCAGCTGGACATTCTTCCCTGGCCGAGATCCCTTGACTGAAAACAGGAGATAAAAGGGACAGACATTTTACTGGAGACACAATCACACCACAGAGACACACCTATTGCTCAGTGCTGGAAAAAAGACTGACATAAAGAACAGCCATGAAATGTGATCCTGGGACCACCAGACTGGAAAGTTAACACCTCCCACCAGCCAAATGCTGGAAAATTCTGTTAGCGGTCCACTCTAACAGCCACTTTAGCAGGTAACCACATCTTGCAGAGGTAATGCCGTGCTCTAAATGTTGGAATTAATAAGCTATGAACACAAGATTCACCTTTGATGCTTACTAAACCACAACACAAGATGAGCCTGTGTAATATGCAAGGGGATGCACCATTTGAGAAAACCTGATCAGTGGAAAATAGTCTGACGTTGTCAGCCTCAAAAGCGAGTCTTTCTGCTTAAGTGGCAGTTCAAACCCAAGCTAGAAGAAAGATGTGAAACCCACTTCCCCCTTCTAGCCGATGTAGCTGCAGAAAAGACACTGCAAACACGTAATTAGGACTCTCTTAATGTGCACTGTTGAGAAACAAAGAACGGCACACCATGGGCTGTAATAACACTGTTTCAGGTCAAAAATAAAAGCCACAATAAAGTATACAACATAAAATTAAATCAAATATTAAGTGTGTAGTAGTGAAGGTAACATTCTGTCCCTGTCATCCTGCTGCTTCCACTGATACCATCTGAAGAATTCAGCCGGTCTGTCAAGTCCATCCCTGTCATGCTCCTTCACTTTTACCACACAAACACAAATCATGATAGTCTTGAACAAGAAACGCTATTTATTTTTCTGACAGACTATTTGTCTTAAAAATGACATATCACAGCAAATGTGTGATTTCATGGTTCAAACGCTAGAAAGGGTAGGAGCACGACGTCAATGACAGTAACAGAACATTTTCCTTGGAAAAAAAAAAAAAGTTGTAATCTCTCAGTTTCAAATGATTTATATCAAGCTGGAACTACTGCTCATAATTCAGATCAAAATATTTGCCCATTAACATGCCAACCTTAGGTTTTGGACGTGATGCCTTGGGGCTATTTGTGTGTGCACTGTGGCCTTATGCAAGACTGCTTCTGATGGAGTTTGGAATCTGGTTTGTTTGTATCACTGACAGAATCAATCACGCCCCCATTCCTACATGTTCTGCTTAATACAAAAGCAGCTCCCAACACAAACTATACAAGCAACTCATGACGAGTCTTGTTCCCACCAAACAAACTTTACACAGGCTGGGGTAATTTACATATAATGGTGACAGTACTGCCTCCAAACGTCTCAGTGACAAGTATTTTCAAGCTGGGTGTGAACAGAGCTCTTTAATATGTTTATCAAATGGATTTAAAAAGTTGTCAGGTGCCAGTTAACAAACAAATAGACAAATGCTTTCACCTTTAAATGCCAAACAAGCAAAGTAACACACATCAAGGATAGATAACAACAGCAACTATAGCTCTATCCAAACATCTAAAATAGATTTGATTTACTACTCTGTTGTTGTACTTCCTACTACTGGCAAAAGCCAAAGCAAATTCAGAGTCAAAGTGGCACAATTATGTCTGAAGTGATACTTAGATACTTAGTCAACGTTTCTATCAGTTATTGTTATCCATCCAATAAACGAGATATGCCAGTTGAACTACCACCACTTTTACTCCGGAACTATTGAGCAATTAACTAGAACCTGTTTCAAATGTATTCTACTTTTAGTTTAATCTCATGAACCAAAATAACTATACTAATGCCACCAGAGCAGCATTCAAATGGAAGGATTCAACATCAGTGCACAAAATGCTGTTTTATTAATGCATTTGTCTTCAATGACAGCTGTGCAGAGAAGGCCATCAATCTCGACATGCTCAAAATAACTATTTATGTGACTGATCAGACAATTTTCCAGTGACTGGTCAGGAAGTTTCTCTGTGAATACAGAGCACTTGACTTAATGTATCAGAGCAGGTACTTTGAACACAAAACATCAGTTCTGCAATAGACCAAATTAACTTGTAGTTGTATCTTAAATCATGACTTCATTTATTACAATTATTATACACCCCAAACACCCCATCATTGAGACAAAGGAGGATTCAATTAAATGTAAATAGTTTGTTTGCTGCAAGTCAACTCTTCTATGGCAACTTCTGATAAACTGTGTCAGAGATAGTGGCAAAAAATAATTGCTGACTACTAACATTTGCTTGTACACATATAGAAACGAGGGTACAGATGATGTTTCTTGACCAAATGATGAGCCCTAGCTGCAGGAAATCACTGTACTTCTTGTGAATTGTTGTTACATACAGAGTACCTGACTCTTAGTTACAGACCATCTCTCAGTGAAACTAATCCAGTTTTAATAGTGCTTGCAAAGCACTTTGAGAGGGAGGGTGAGGGTAGAAATCAACAAATGGATGTAGAATAATGGCACTATCCTGATGTGACAACTAAAAGCAAGGTCCTAAACAGTGAAAGCAGGTATAAATACTGCAGTGCTGCTTGTCACTTTAAACCTGGATTACAGAAGGCTAAGCCCTGACAGAGCTTACTCCAAAGTTAGCCACATAGCCAGTGGGCAACAGTGAGCTTATCATGTGGGGTACAGACAAAAGGCTTTCCACTGCACTGATCAGGGGGCAGAAAACAAAGAGCTGGACCAGCACAACAGAAACACAGCCGGGGTGTCAGGACTGCTGGACTCAACAGTTGGTTTGGTCCAGCACTCCTGATTCAATGCTGAGTGTTCTGCCTGGGCTTATGTGATGTCACGCTCTCCAGACATGCTATTAACAACACACACTCCCAGAGTTCACTCTAGATCTACGTAAATAATCCAATTGAAACTTCTCATTATCCAAACACATTTAATTGGTTTGGTCTAGAAACACAGTCATCAAGCAGGAGGGGTACCTTCATACCCACACAGATCACTGAGCTGGTGTGGGATAATTTATCAATCTTTTGACGCAGCACCTGCAGTGAGCCAGCTATTCTTGAGTTTACTGTGGTCTTAAACAGAGTAGATAAACACAGCAGTAATATTAACCGGCAGGTGGTTATTCTCAGCAATAAAACCACAAATGCCGACAAAAAAGGTCAAGTGAGTTACATAAGAGGATATAAATACTGCCACTATCAGGCTTGTTTGTCTTCTTTTGTGTTTGGCAGACAACCTTATCACAGCCTGAGTATAACAATCCATGTATAAAACACTACAGCAGGATCCACAGTCAAAGTCAAACTCCAAGGAGAGACTATGGCTGCACATGCATATTTGTGAATAATCCCAATCACCTCCACCAGCTCAGCTTAGACCAATCATACAGGCCTATATTTCAGAAAGTAAACAAACAGAGGGCTAAGGTCACATTTAATAACAGCCTGGGAAAATTCTCTGTATGCAACATTCCTCATTTACTGGCCAAAACATCTTCTAATGCTGAGACTAAAGGCGCAATTTTGACCCCTAACCAAAACACATGATGTTGCTCCTTGAGAACAGCGAAACAAAGATGTTTCCATACAACAGTTCCACAGGGGTAAACACATATAAGTGTACGTGTGAAACAGGCATTATTTCCACGCCCAGTGCACCTGCCTCACAAGGACAACTACAGAGGTCACAACCTTATTTCTTGTGCTCTTTAGATGAACTGTACAGTTGGATCTGAGGAAATTTATGCTTCTGTTTGATGTCCTCAGGGCTCCTGTTACACAATCATCATGTGGATGTGGAGATAAAAAGGCCCTGTTTTCCCTCATACACACAACTCCAAACATCACAAATGTCTCCACATGCTGTATACAGTGGGCATTCGGACATTTAAAACACAGTTTGTGTTGGACTTGTAGGGCCAAAAAAGATTACCAACCACTCCATATCTACCTTAAAGTCTCACATCAAAACAATTCCAGATCATTTGCTTAGCACTTGAATAATTCACACAAAATATGTTTTATAGTCACAACATAAAAGCTATTCTAATCTACAGGGATTTTTTTAACAGGGCCACATGACACTGCTTTGTAGCAACCAGAAATAATGTAAGCAGTTCATATCTTCATAAAATCGGAACACAAACAAGCAGTTTAACACAGTATTACAGTGAGCATGTGCCAATCACAGCATCTTTGTTTGTACACCTCATTAACAAGTCACTCTGGGGAAGGTTGTGCCTGCAAATTGTAATTAGATCCTTCACAATGCAACTGCAAAACAGTAAGCACAACACAGGGCAGTCCACCCAAGTAACTGAGAAGCCCCCCCCCCCTGGGGAAAGGGCAACAAATGGGGTTTAAAAAAAAAAAAAAAACCCCAAAAGAAACAAAAAAACTGACTTCAAGACTGTTGTCACACAGTCGCTCTCAAATTCTCCAACTAATAGCAGTACTTTTTCAGACAGGGGATGTCTCTTTTTTCACAGCTGAAATACAAGTAATCTCAGCCTACAGCATCACCTGTCCGATGGAAGAAACCAATGCATTAATCAAAAAACATAAAGCCAGTGATGTATGATAAGGTGTCATTTACATTAAATGTGTCAGTGATGTAACGTCACCTACCCCCACCCCCCACCCCCCGATTTACAGGCAACGCCGTCACAATGCATCTCCTCTGAAAACATAAATGGATGGCGTTGATTAAAAATTATGTTTCAAAAACAAATAACATTTACAAAATAATCTGAAGAGACGGTTGATTTGACTACCATCTTTTATCCGAATCCAACCATAGAGCCTGAAGTAGGCTACTACAACATAACCTGACAACCTTTAACTTTAGCGGTTGTAACCTGGTATATAGAAGACACATTTCATTACCATAATCTAACTGAATTACAGTGCTCCACAGTGGGTTTGGCCTTCCTCACCTTCCAAGAGGCGCTGAATTATAGAGTCGATGTTTAATTTGTCCGGCTCCGCCATTTTCTTTATTTTCTGACGTTCTCGAGCAGTGGAGCCCTCGGTTTTCCGTGTTGCACCTTAGATTCCAAGAACAGAAAGAGAAAGAGGCGGACACTTTTAACAGATACTGATAATATACGTGTTAATTCATATCTGTCAGCTAACGAGTGGCTCGCAGAGCTAATCGAGCAATGTTGGCGGACAGGAACGATCAATGAGCTTATGCGAGCTTGAGCTAACCAAGCTAGCTAGGTAGCTTCTAGTCAAGTAACGTCAGCTACTCATATAAACTAGCAGCAGCAGAACTGAACCGCGGCTACACGGCTAACGTTAGCCATGTAACACAACTTACAATCAGATAAAATGTCCCCAAACCTTGTCTTCACTTTAACACCACTCCTCCCGGGATGAATAATGTATAAATATTTATCCTGTGAGCTCAATCTTGGCCCCTCTCCCGTGGTTCGCCCAGGTCCCTTCACTCTTCCCCCAGGAACTTTAAAGGAGGGCCGTTTTTTACCGAGGTGTCTACGGTAGCGCAGGAGGTTGAATCAAACCGAGTTCTTCACACATTTCTCAAAATATGATTGGTCTGTTGTAGAATTTAGAACTCGAATTCTCACATCTGATTGGACGTATGTTGGGTCCGTCTTAGACTCCGCCCCCTTGGGGGGGGGTAAAACAGCATCATTAAGCTTTAAATGGGAGCTCAATGTGCGTCACCCAGCGTTCACAATTAGAATTGCAATGTAAAACCTAAAATACACCACAATTAAACAACGCTTTTTCCAAAAAGTTAATTTTATTGGGCTTCACTGCTTCAAGCCAAAGCCACTGCCGAAGAAGTTAATTTTAAAATATTTCACTGTATCTTGTTCATTTCTTTATCAAAAAATATGTGGGCATAGCAGATATTTGTGCTTTTTGTAATCAACAAAAAGAATATACTGTATTTCACTGTGAGATGGTACAGACCTTTTGGTGGGAGCTCACTAATCATGTTTTTGTTTCATTGACAAACCTTACTGTAAGGTTAATTGAGCAGCAAAAGCATAAACATTTATTTTTTATTTATCAGAAGTTAAAATATTTAGATAAAGCTATACAATAAATTATATATATAAAGAGAAACTTGACAAAGAGGACAGCATAAAAACATTGTTACAACTAAGAATACATACAACATAACCAGACTAAATAAAAGGGCATACAGTATTTCTGCACCGACACAATTTGCTTGTTATAGGCCTACAAAAACTTTTATTTTACTTCTGACACTAATGTTAGATTAGCCTACTTAAGTAACATTTTTGATTAATTTTATTTGTAATGGACTTTATTTTGTGTACTTTCCTTTACTTAAGCAAAAAGAAGTTCTACCACTGGACACTAAACAAATTCTTAATGTACTTAGTGGGGTAAAATTACAAAAACACAATGCAGAAATAGCTTCCCATTGTTGCTGAGAATATGGGATAATTCAAGTCCACCCTTGCATTACACACTGCAGTTGATGCACAGCACCTATTTAAATACAGTTAACATCCATGTCTGTTTGTGTTGCCCTGAGTGAAGAATTCTGTCATTTCTCTCATTGAGCCCTGTTCCAAACTAAGATCTAAATTTGTACACATTATTCAAAACACAACTATCCACATATGTGTCACTCTGTCTGAATGTGTTCATCGAGTTTACAAATATTTGGTTTCCATAACATTCCTTTTCCTAATTTGTTCCATCCCATGATCCATGAAACCCTGCTCACAATCTTGTGCAAAATCCTAAACCCACTCAGTCTCGGTTTCCTAAATAAGTCTCCTTACATTCGTCATCACAGTTTCGACACAGGTAGGTGTAGGGGGGAGGGTGCTCCAGGGGATGTGCAGGTACAGAGGCAGAGGTGGGATTTATTTGTTTAGACTGAGTGCATAGAGAGAAAAATGGGAAGCTATCCAGATGATTCAGTTTTCTTTTTCTGGCAACCAGTGATGGATACAACCAAAATGATTCACTCAGGATCCATACCATCATTATCATCAGGGTAATCACAACAATAACCACACATAACTGTATGGTTTCACCAAAGTGATGCTAAGACATTACAGCTTCTTTTTTTCCAAGAGACTCTGAGGTATATCACTGAGGCAGGTTTAAGGTGGAAAAAGAGGGGGAAACATATATGACATACATGTATAGGACAAGTCCAGTCTGGTCTTGAGGTCCTTCCCTCCTGTGTACTCCCCTACTGGAGCTCAGCCCCACCCCACACCTCACATTCCTCTACAAATACCCACTCTTCTTACACATAGCACATCAGAAAACAACATCTTCAAAACAACATAAAGCCAGGAACGAAGAAAGAACCTCGAGAAACACTGCACCTAATTTTTCAATTTTCAACTCAGGGACAGAGGACACAGAATAAAAGGTAAGCCCCCTTTTTATCCACTTTTTATTCAAATGGACAGGCTGAGCTCTGAGAAGAGATATGATTCTACAAAAGCTTGAAATGACAGAGGATGAAAGGATTGGTCGAGGATTAGTTGAATACCTTTTATGGGCACCAGCAAAAATAATAAAAAGTACAAATAAACAACTGTGAGGGTGAAAAGGGAAAAAAAACTTTTTTTTAAGGTAGGTTTTGATAGGACTTAACATGCATCACCTAATTAAAAAAAAAAATCCATGAATGGATATTTAAAGTAAAACTATCAGTAATGTTGAGGATAAAATGACAACATCTGATTTTAAATCCAGTGACCCACATCACATTAGATTTCAGTATTTAATCTGCTCTGGAAGTTTGTGATCTGGGGCGGGTCACATATGCTTAAAGTAAGATATTTTTGTCCCTGTCTAAATCCAGCACAAGTTTACCCTGCTGTTCCAACCCTGTCTGGGTTATTAGCTCTTCTTCTTTGTTATTTCACAGGATCTGAAATGTAAGAAACTGGGTTTTTGTTTGGTTGATATTTATAAAATAATTAAATAAATGGAACAAAATGTGCCCTGCTGGGTGTTTTCAGGTGGTAAAAGATTATTTGGACTGTCTGTATGTTTGAAGAACAAAGAGAGGGGATTTGCTGCAGAGAAGAATATTATTCGATGCATAAAAAATGAACACAACATTTTTTGTTTAGCTTGGAACTCATTGTGTGCTTTTTCCCCCTGGTACTTGAGTTTATAAGTCAAATTTTCTTTGATGTTTTATAATTGTATTTGCTTATTTTTGGTTTAATGTTTCCGGTATGAAAACATAACATCTGGTAAAAAAAAAAAACAACTGCAATTAAACTATTAAAACATCTAATTAATTAAAGGTCCTCTGACTTGATCAAAAGTATTTCCTTAAAATGCATCACTCTTCATGCTAAGAGGTTTTATACTCCTCAGAGTTCTTTCTAGGTTTTTTTTACTTCAACTTGTATTTTTAGTCTATGTGAAGATGAATCATAAAATAAATGAGTAAGGCAGAGACTTTCGAAGTAAGGAGATGTGAGGGACTGGTTCAGCCAGTCCTGGGTGGAGATCCAAGAGGCTGGGGCCTGTCAGGACAGGAATTTGTTTAAAAAATGTAGCCTTAAGAGACGTTATCCTGTGAAGGCCTGTGTATTTGTGTATGTTCAGCTATGTGATTACAAAAAAAAAAAAAAAAAAAAAAAAAAAAAAAAAGCCCCAGAGAGCAACAGTAACACTGCAGTAACAGCAGATAAATGTCTCTTTCATCCTGGATCAATGGAAGAGATTCAACAACTCCTCCTCTGTAACCAGAAGAGGGAGTGTACTAGAAGTACTAGGATTTAAAAGCAGAATAAAAAAAAGACTTAGTTAAACACATATGAGTAGTGTAGCAAAAACACATAAACATCTTGGGATCTTGGGAGAGGCAATTAAAAAGAGATCCACCCTCCTCAGATGGCGGGCTGAGGCCGCAGCAGATGTTGAAAGAAAAAGGCACAAAGAATAAAAAGTAAGAGGATGATTCAGATAAAAACAACAGAAAACATACAGACTGAAGAGAGCACTGGAAAGTAAAAATAAAAGCCCTAATTATCTCCCTCGTACCTCTGTTTTTTTTTCTCTCCATCTTGTTTGATCCAGAATGGGATCTTCTGCAGTTCAGATTACATGTGTGGCCATCGGGGTCCTCGGCCTGGTTGGGGCCATCGTTTGCTGTGTTGTCCCTCGCTGGAAAGTCTCCTCTTTCACAGGATCCAACATCGTGATCGCACAGGTAAAGAAAAACATTGAACAACCTTTTGTTATGGATGGTAATGGACTGCAGGAAAGACTTTGTATTTCTTCGAAAGTAAAGTATATTTATCCTCATCACCAAATTTTAAAACACAGGACTGGAACCTCCTTCAACTGAATGGGAAGTGTTTTAATACAGGGACTCACAGTACAACACATCTATGATGTAAGAAATGCTTACATTAGTGAACACATCTGATGATCCTAGGTAGCAACAGTTAATTAAGTTCATTATATTGTACTGAATAGGCAAATATATGTATGTCATGTATAAAAAACTACATATATGGCCTTTAATTCTTTATAATGGTCATCAACCACAGTCTGTACAGTTTAACCTCTTATTTGCTCTTTTACAAAAATTCACTATGACAGGTTTTGGTGATCTTCTTATGGTTTTCAATTCCATAAGAGCCGCCTCACTGAAGGTCTTAATATTAATTAAGACCTGGTGAAAGTGTACAAGCATTATTGAAGTATCCAGGATATTTGCATAAGTAAAAGTAGTAGTACTGCGATATAAAAATATTCCTGCATTGTGTCACTTAAGTAAAATTTCACAAGTATTATTAGCAAAATGTAGTTAAAGTATGAAAAGTAATAGCAGTCACAGTCCCCCTGTGAGTGTCATACTATTATGTATTGTCATTAGATTATTATCACTGATCCATTATTGTGAAAGTGGTGTTTTACTGTTGTAGTTGGTTGAGGTGGAGCTGATTTTAACTATTAAATATACTTTTGGGAAGTTTAGCTATGACATCATATTTTATAAGCTCATTGGTGACTCTGACTTTATACAGTGGTGTAGAAGCATACAGTATCATTTAATGGAAATACAGAAGTACAAGTTACATTGCACCACTGGACATGGATGGTATATGACATGATTGACAATCTCCTTCTTTCTGTGTGTGTGTGTATGTGCGTGTGTGTGTGTGTGTGTGAGTAGAGCTCTCAGGAGGGCCTGTGGATGACATGTGTGGTGCAGAGTACCGGCCAGCAGCAGTGCAAGAAATATGAATCCCTGCTGGTGCTGTCCTCTGACCTGCAGGCCGCCCGTGCCATGACCATAATCAGCTGCATGTTGAGCGGCCTCAGCCTCCTCATCCTGTTCTGCGGGGCTGACTTCACCACCTGCATCCAGAATGAAGACGCCAAGCCCAAGATCAGCCTTGTGGCCGGGGTAGGCCTGCTGCTGGCCGGCCTCCTGGCGATCATCCCTGTCAGCTGGTCCGCACACATTGTCGTGCGAGACTTCAACAACCCTCTGGTGCCTGCTTCCCAGAAGAGGGAGCTGGGAGCGTGCATCTTTGTGGGCTGGGCTGCTGGCGTGCTGCTCCTTCTGGCTGGAGGTCTGCTGTGCTGCTTCAGCAGGCCCAATTCTGGCTCAGGGGGAACCGCCAAGTACTACAGCAACGGCGCCTCTGCCCCTAACAAAAACTACGTGTAGTGCCTTTATGAGAGGGACTGGAGTTTGACAGAAAGCATGGGAGGGTGATTTAGTTGGTGAAAGACTGGGAAGAAACAAAGTCGACAACATCAGGAAAAAGAAAAAGTCTCAGTAAATATCATATTCTGATGATGATAACTGGCTCCAGTTTTTTCTTTCACATTCAAAGCTATGCTAGTGTTTTTATTTTAAAGCTATTTTACTATCAGGTTCTGGGTTATGCATAATCATATACAGGCTGTAAATTGCAGATTAAACTCACGACATTTTGTGGTCTTAGAATTAAAAAGGTTTTATTTGGGTTTCTGCTTTGACATATACAACATCAACTATGATCTCCCAGCTACAAAACAGTTGTATTCTCCCTGTTTTTCTTTTCTGATTTCAAAAAAGAACCATACAAGTAAAATCCAAGATTATGAAAATGTTAAAAATATATTTGTGAGAAGAAAATGATCTGATAAAAATGCTAAATGACCTTTATTTAGATGCACTAGTGGCTCATATTTTACATATAGTTTGGATCAACCATTCTGCCTCTGTTGTATGTTCGCTTGTTTGTTTCTCTCTCATCTTTAATGTTTATATATATATATATATATATATATATATATATATACCGTCAGAAAAAGCTAAACAAAGGCCTCAGGGAGAATCTGTGTGCACTTCTCTGATGACAAACGTCCACATGACTTTTCACAGCATTTTATAAAACTTTTGTTATTGCTCATTTTGTTTTGTTTCTCATTTTGTATGATGATGAGTGCAAATGATTAAAAGTTGGTCTAATTCAAATGTGTGTTTCGTGTGTGTTTCATGTGTTTGTTTAAAAAGAAAAAAGTCAAAAAAAATGTATTTTTGAAATACAGAAGACTTTATTTCAAACTAAAAGCATATATTAAAACAGGATTTTTTTTTAAATTGATCAAACCAAACAAACAAATTCAAGCTTCAAGCCCCCCCGCCCTCCCAAAAAAATGTGTAATAACACCTGTTGCCTTAATCCCTCCCTTTGTGTCACTATAATCAGAAGTTAACGACAGTTTTCTCTTTCTTCGCTCCTCTGCTTCTGTCCTGACTTCTGCTCTTGATTTATTTTTCTTGTTTATGGAACTTGTCTAGTTTAATGCTTGCTCTCCAGCTCACTCACACGCTTGGTCAGCTCCTCTATCGCAGCTTTGAGGTCCTTCACCTCCTTCCTCAAGGACTGAACCTCCTGAGAAACAGACAGAGACAGAGTTACGATGTGACGGAGTCGGATTATTAACATGTTGAAGAATCAGTTAATGCTTAATGTGTTGTCGAGGTTGCAGTTGTGGTACTAATTTTAAAGCCAATGATACAATTGTTGGAGGATTTCCCTGAGAAAAAAACAAAACAAACTAAATTTAAAGAAACTTCCACCTATAGAGAGGTACAACAGGTTGCTGAGCCAATCAGAAGAGAGGAGGCTCTGAGCTTCTCTTCTGATTGGCTGACTGCTTTCTGAGTGATTGAATAAAAATGTAGCAGATTTGTAGCAGATTTCAGGTAAACACTCAAATCCTGCTAGGTTGGATGGTGGGTCCAGGTGGGCGGAGCTTGGGGCATGGCTGAGAATGGAGACTGCTTTGTTGTGACATCGCAAGTTACACAAGTCCTGACGGGCCATTTTAAGGCTTAGTTTCTGAATTACAGGCTGTGTGTGTGTTTCTCTGGGGACTGAGGACTTTGATACTTTCCCAGTATTAATATCGAACCTAGACCTGCTTTATAATGTCTAAGTGGCATTTTACTGTTGTACAGTATTTGTGGTTTAACCAGTAACAGTGCACTGTATTTTATGTTTAAGCTGAAATTCCGCTGATCTTTGTAAACCTGAAAAACAGTTTAAACCTAACTGTAGGATGATATTTAGTTTGAAATGACTGACCCCACTGTTGTCCTGTTGACTTCCAGCAGAGGCAGTCGTGGTCTTCAGGAGGCTCTTGTGAACTTTGAACTCCTTGGCCTTGGTGGTTGCTACAAACCCATCCTTTAGAGAAATCAGAATAGGCTGGCCATCCTTTCCTTGGAACCACTCGTCTGCTTCAGCCGAGGGCTCAGGACCAATGGTGTCCGGGTACAGATCCTCCTGGAAGAGATCAGACTACACAGGCAGAGAAGAGCGTGTTAAAGACAGAAATGCACGAATGCCCCCAAACTCACAAACTGTGATAAAAGTACAATAGACTTTGTTAAAACGTTACCTTGCGTGGCACCGTCATAACTATGGGCTCACATTTCCTCTCATGCAGTTTGTAGAACCTGGAGATAGAAATAGAAATATTTTTGTTCATATGTTCAGATTGTTTGCATCAGGCCAGTTTAAGAGGACATTTTACCATGAAGATGTTCAAAACAATAAACAAGAGTAAGAGTCTACGGCCATACCAGCAGCTCTGTGACTTCAGCAGAGCAGTGCTTTGAGCTAAATGCTAAAGTCAGCATTGTAACATGCTCACAAAGACTAAATGCTAACAAGCTGATGTTAAGCAGGTATAATATTTACCATGTTTTACCATCTCAGTTTAGTGTATTAGCATGCTAACATTGGCAAATTTGACCTGATGATGGCGCTAGATGAAATGTTTTAAAGGGGGACATGAATGTGTGTATCGAATTTCAGAGAGAAAAGTCAGGGGATCACCAAAGTTATTAGGATTCCTCCCCTGGGGACCATGACTGTCTGTAGAAACGCTCCAGATATTTCAGTCAGTACCAAAGTGGTGGTCCGACCAACTAACTGACAGACAGACATCCCTCGAGCCACACTGCTATCATGCCTCGGTTTTATAAAAGGTATGTCGCTACCTGGCGATTTCACATTTGTTGACCTCCAGGCCCCTCTTGGGCATGTATCCCATTCCCTTCTGGCTCTCCTTGCTGCTGTACATGGAGAGGTAGTGGACATAAGGAGCTTCATCTGTCACTTCAAAGTAACGGATACTGCTGTCTCCCTGCAGACGGCAAAGACATTGACAAACAAGTCAGCTGCATGTGTCCGTGTGGGTGAGACAGACAAAGAGAGAACGTTATTTCATCACACTAAAGCTAACCTTGCCGCAGAGGTAGACGACGCCAGTGTCAGGGTCAAAAAATGGCAGAAGGACGCCGCTGCTGGTGTCCAGCTCCTGCAGGGTCAGCGGCTCTCCAAAGTTCTTCTGTTAAAAAGACATTCGGATACACAGAAACAGACATTTCAGTAAATCCAATGTAATACCCTCTATAACAAAAAAGGCTGGAGGTAAGCCAAGAGCATGACGTGGGATATTACAGAGCAACCCCGCCCTTAATGCTGTAATATGGCGGTTGTGAAACAGCACTGTTGTAAATACAGTGAGTAAGTCCCTGGCAACACATGAGTAACAGTTTGAATGCAGCGTGCTTAGTGCTGCTTCACCTGGATGTTTGAGCGTCGCTGTGCAGAACCATGTATGTGCGCAGTTCAACAGCAGAAATCTGTTTTCACATTCATCTTCTGAAGGGAGAACGTTTCACCTTAAATCTGAATTTATGAAGTGTATGCAGGAGTAGGATTTTGTCACCTCAGTGCACAAACACAGAGAGTGCACTTTACACTTTAAGTAGGCGACGTCTTGTGTTCAGCAGGGAAACTTTTAAATAAAAATATTTTCCATTCCACTTTATTGGTAGATTCTGAATGTTTTAATGTACAACTCGATGTGATTTTACAAATTCTTAACAAGGTTACTGAAATTTTTCTTTTTTTGTAGAAAAAAACGTATTAGACATAAATTATTATTCACAGCAGTGTGTTGTATGTTTTCTGGGTTCTACATAGAGATACACTTTCCTGTCACACTTTGAACTGTTTCAGGACTCGGTTGTAAAAACACGATGACCCCAATAAGAATTTAGTGATGTTTGAATCAAAATGTGATGACAGTTGTGGTTTTGTAAAGTAAAGTTAACTCCTTCAACTCTACTTTACAAAACCACAACTCCTTCAGTGTCAGGCCTGACAGGAGTTAACTTTACTCGCTGTACAGTCAGAAACAATTGTTGTAGAGATTTGGAAAACACATTTCAGGGGCTTTGAAGACAAGAATAAGGATAATGAATCTAGTCGGTAAAACGTGACGATAAGAGAGAAAAGTCCTGACACTCACCGGATCCCACAGCGCCACCTGCCGCTCACTCATGCGACTGAAGCCGGTACTGAGGATCTTCCCGTCGGACACGAACACCGCTCTGATGGGCCTGGAGCCCTCGTGAGGCTTCTCCTTCTCCTGTTGGTGTTTTGAGGCAGAGCAGAGGGGGAGGTGTTACAGACAGAGCTATGGACTTATCATATTTCAGTTCTGTCAAGTCCAATTCACCACTACTTTTTGTTTTTTAAGTGCTCTGACAGCAGCTACTTTCAGCGTGGACATAGAATTACTCATTATGTCCGGAAAAATAATAAAATACTATTATGTTTTACATATTAAACATTATTCAAATCTATGAAAATGAAAAATAATATTTATTTTATCATTATTATTATCATTTTGTATAACTAATAATAAAAATAAATAACAAAGTTATTGATTATAAATTAGGTGAAAAGACTAACACATCCCTTAGCAGCAACAGAGTCCCAGTGGTGTTTTAGTTCATACTTAATTAAAGACTCACAAACGACTCACAAACTATAAACCTTGAAATGTCATATTATTATTAGAACTGACAATAGTAGTCGATTGACAGAAAATTAATCAGCAACCATTATAATGATCATTATTTAAGTCATTAAAATGCTAAACACCCAAAGACTCAAATAATGATATACATTTTAGTAAACTGCATATTTTTGATGGTCAAACAAAAAAAAAAAAGAAATTGGGGGGAATTGGGAAAAGGTGTTTTTTCATTATTTTCTAAACCTACAACAATGACGGTGCCCTTGCGCGGGTCCAGCACCCGCAGCTTCTTGTCCTTGCAGGAGGTGAGGATCCTGGAGCCGTCCCTGTTCCAGCAGGCGCTGTAGATGAGGTCGGTGTGTACGGTGTCGAGCCTCACTACCGCCTCCCCACAAGCCACGTTCCACAGGATCACCACGTTATCACAGCCTGCGAGGGCACAACAGTGGCGATAGTGGTAAATGGAAAGAGGAGTAAAGGAGCTTCACAGTGGGGTCATTACAGACACAGCAGAAGTCAAAATCAAATGCATTTCAGGTAAAATTCTGCCTCATGTCAACAAGTAGATTCTCAGGTTTATTTTACTTAAGACTTTGAGTTTATGTGGACTTTCCTGAGAAAGATTCTCTGGAACCAAGGAGTGACATGTTTTACATTTACAGTGTTTTTTGGGTCAAGCGGTGTCTTGACAGGGCTGGATACAGTGTTTTATAGCTTTGAAAATAAGCCCCTAACATAGAATTTGAAAATAATATGATTCATTGCAGATTCAATAAATCAAATGTTTAAACTGTACATTAGCTGCAGTTACAGAAAGATAATTCAATATTATTTTTTAACCTGATACTGATAACCTAATTCTGTTGTTCAAATCAAGGAGATTAAGTTTGGTTGTATGTGTATGTGCTTATTATATGAACAATGGCAAAAATATTCTGATTAATATCAAGATGTTATTGATTTTAACCATGTTGCCCAGTCCTAGCAGCCTCAGCTGTTAGTAGCATTACTTTAGTAGTAGCATTACTGTAGCCGAGTCTACTGTCTAACACAGGCAGATACAGTGGTTCATGCAGTTCTGTGTATCTAAGTGTCAACAAGAGCAGTGCTAAGAGTGAAGAAGGAGCGGGT